TAATAGAAATATTTATATTTTACAAAAACTTAGCAATTAAACTCTAATAGAAAAATCTTACAAAATTATACATGATTTCTTCGTTCTTTCTTTTAACATTATTTTTTTAAAATTAATTATTTGTTGGAGTTTGTCATCATTTTATTAACGGTATGAAGCATTAATTGGTTTCTACATATTTTTAATATTTCTTTATTCCAGTTTTTGTGTAACTGCTTAAAGAATCTAAAAAATAGAAAATATATTTGCTATAGTGATATGTAAAAACTATCATCCATTACTTAACCAACTAACATTTCTTAAATAAAAATTAGTTTACTCCAAAAAGAAGTCAATAGCGGTCAAATTACAATTGAGTCAGTATTTATGCATGTTTGTATAAACTTTAGAATCTACAGAGATATATTTATGTTAAATAATAAAAATCACTTAAGACAATTCAACGAAACAACACGTCTAACTATAAGAGCAACGGTTACAAGGATCAGTCTCGTAAATCCTTATTAACATTACCAATCCTTAAGTTAATTGCCATTAATATTAGTATTATATTCAAATAATGTTAAGGATCAGTGAGACGTTACCGCGTTGGAGGTGGTCTTACATCCCTTAGCAAATAATTGCAATACTTTTTTTTGACCAAAGGCTTAATAGTTGCAATACTTCAAATATTATTTAAGTGATTACCCTCCACATATTTCTACCACTCAGAATTAATAGCATCAGTAAATTCCTTCAGTCCTTTGATAGTTTTTTGAATTTTATCTTTCATCACTACACTTAATATCAGATTCTTTAAAAAAAAAAAACAATTATCGTCAAGAGAACAATTCTTTTCAGACAAGTTTTATACTCTAACCTCAAATATCTTGAAATAATAGTTTGCTTGTATTATTTATAGTTTTGTTTCTGAAATTGGTACTTCCTTCAAGACATTGTAATCAAGTAAGTTACGATGTCTTTCTACTTTATTTTTATTGCATCTTTCTTGTATTCATTCTTTGCAAAGAACTGATTTGAGAGTATCGAAAAACGTTAATGTATTTGAATATTTTCTCGGATAAATGGTTGTATCTGTTTCCAAATTCTATTGATTTTCCTTTTTTCTTTTCAAATTATACATGTTACTAATTTTAAAAGTGGTTGAATTATTAGAACAACGTCAAGTTAGGTTTGAAAGAGTGTAATTATTCTCCTTAAATCACTGAACTTTAACGGGCGTAAATGTTGGAAAACAGAAAAGATGTTAGAAACACTGAAACTGATCAATATATTAATGTGTTCTAAGTATCAGTCAACAGCCTTTACATAGCTTTAGAAACATAGTGATATACCAAGGGATATTAATTTTTCGCTAAGTCATGGTAGTGTGGTATTTCAAAATAAACCGACCATGTTTTATCATATTATCCCATCTCGAGGATAGTAGTTATTAAGAAGTAATGAGTTTTAAGTTTTATACCTCTGTCTAAAACTCTTCTATGCCGACTTCTTATTTTTTAATGGAATGCACGTAACTTCGTATGGTTCATGTATGTTCCATTTTCATGCACCATTTTATGGGTCTGGAAAATGTTGATGCAGATGGGAAATTGCATATGAAAAGTATTTTAAGAGAGCAAAACAATTATTCAAGAGTGGACATGTTTAAGTAGGGATGTCTAGATACAAAGAAAAAGGGAGACTCAAGCAGCGGTAAGTGTCTATGAAAATTCAATAATTCTAAGTTACAAATCAGTAGATTACAAATGCAAACATTATCTCGTGTAGTATAATGTGCATATGTATTAATGAGTATTATATGCTTCTGAATTTGGAATGGTTAAAGATTCAGTCAACTGTCGTGCTCTTAGTCCCTCAACAAAGAAATTTGTGAAGTCTATAAAAATCAACAGATGAAGAGAGAAACTAAAAAAGAATTCATCAAAAATTTGTTAAGTTATTTTTTTAGATTCTGCGATTCTTTGTATCTTATAAAAGATAACCTAACCTCACGGAAGAGCAGGCGGAAATCGGCTGTATGTGTGAACACGGTTAAGAAGAAGGATAAAAAAATTACTGGTTAATTATATTGTACAATGGTCTTTGTAAAGAGAAATGATCAGGTTTCTCTTTACTGATATACCAATCTCGTCGTTATTCGGTTTTGTAGTTATTATTATTTGTGTTATAAGATGAAGTCTCTCTTCATTTCTGAATGATACATAGTTTCACAGGTCTCTTTTTTTTTTTTTAATTTCTTAATGACACATCTTTTCATACTCCTTTTTTTGTTAGCGTTTTCATACTCCTTAATTTATGAATTAGATTTTAACCCGCGCATCCGCACGAATATATTTTTGTTTTTATAATTAAATTTAATTTTATGACAGACTGATAAAACAAATTATTACAATTTGGTTTTTATATTATGTAACTTAGTATTTTTTGATATTATTAATATATAATTTATTTTTATTTTAATATTTTTATTTTATTTAAATTAAAATAAATATATTTACATAAGAATCCAAATAAAATAATTTATCTATTTAACCCGTTTCGTTAAGTTTTTTTTTTATGTTTTCTAATGAAAAGGAGATTAGATTTTTGTAGATATTTCTCATTAATCAAAATTTATTTTAATGATTTTTTATTTTAAATAAGCTATATTTCTTTTATTTAATTTACAAGCATAAAAAATCAACTGTAACTAAAAATTCTATAGTTAAAAATATAATTTTGTAATTTTTCTAATTTATTTTTATTAAATTAAATTTTATTTTTCTGATTTTTATATTTTAACTTTATAAATTAAAATGATATATTATAAATAGCAATTTTTTCTATTAAAAATTTTATAGTACTTATTGCTAATATTTAATAATAATTACAAATTTAATGAGTTATTTAAAGTTAATAAGCAAAAGATTTTCTAAGAGTTTGTTAAAGTGAAATAGGAAATATTCAAAAATAAATAGTGATATGGTAAAATATTCTTATATAAGATAGTATATTTTATTCAATAATATATATATATATATATATATCATTTTAATGTATTAAAAAGTACTAATGAAATGATCTAATGACTTTTTATCAGTATATAAAAATATGACTATGTTTTAAGAGATTAGATGATACACTTTTTAGTAGTTTATAAACCCTCCGTGAGAAAGAGGATTCAAGAACCAAATAAAAACTGAGAAGTGTAAAACATATTCTTCTTTGAGGCATCTTTTTATCCATCTTTTAAATTTATGAATAATACACCCTTTAAGAAGCTTCTTTTAATTTCTGAAAATTCACTTTTTGCACTCTTTCTAATTTTTAAATGATGCATCCTTTTAGTAGAATATAAACCCTCAACTTGAGAAAGAGTGTTTCTGAAACAAAAATTAAAACAAAATGGAGATTATCTTATACATTTAAAACATTTTTACCTTAATTTTGTTTTAATCTATTAGACATTCTATTTTCATCACATAATATGTACATTTATAATATATCTCATAAATTTGTGTATGATAAAAAATATTAATAATGTATGGAGTCGCGAAAGAGGCAGTTATTGGCGATTGAGATGACGATTGGTTTCTTCTCTCAATGGTTCAATCTGCTTCTAATCTCTATGTGTAAAAATCGTTTAGTGGGTATCAGATTGACATGGCTTATGTGTCTATGTCTCTTACTTCTCCTTTCGTCATCTTTTAGAAAATTTTCCAGTCTTCTTTTTGATGGGTTAATTCCTGTTCCAATCTCCGGCATGTACGTTTTCTTCATGGCCGATGGCAACACAAACAATCCAAATGGTTTGGATTCATATGCAAGTGTGTTCGGTGGTTATCATGATTACATGTTAACTTTTCAAGGTTTGAAACAAATCTTAACTGATTTGTTATGGAAACAACGTCCGCCAAAGAAACCCCCATGAATTCGACATACAAAAGAAGATTTCAAAAGAAGTTTGTTGTCAACCAAGGAAGATAATTTCAGAATTTATATTTTCATATAGTATATTTGGTATCAAAATATATCACTGAAATTATGGAATGCATCAAGAAAAAGGCAACAATACGAAACAGAAGGTATCTCTTTGTTGTATGGCGATATTCGTATAATCGTTGAAAATTGGTCTATCTAATATTTATTTTCTTTGGTTGAAACAATATATTGGTATCTATACCATAGAAAATCTATAGATCTAAATTGGAGAAAGACTAATGTAATACAACAAAAAGATTTGATGTCTACAATGCGATTGAGATTCAAAGATCGCAAGAAAATCAATAGAGTTAATACTCTATTAAGAAGAATCTTTCAAATGATTTCTTCTCAACTTATTTCATTTGATGTATTTTTTTATTATTGTGTATGTATTTGGATATGTTGTTTACTGTTTAAATAATAAAAGCTAAGTTGTTAAAAAAAAATTCAAATAACTTTAAATAAATCTAATTATCATAAACACACATTTTATTAATATTGTTAAAGAATTGATTTTTTATTAAAGAGTTTATATGCCCGCGCGAATGCGCGGGTTTGTTTCCTAGTATATATAAAAGAATCGATCATATGTAAATTTTAAATTTTTCAAACTATATGTTTTATATGTTACTTTATGAATTCATTCTGCGCAAGGTGTGATTTTATCAAACTTTTATTATTTTTGTAAATTTAATGTTAGTTTTATAAAGGATATATACATTTCAATTTTATTGACATCACACTCAGGTGGCTGAAAACACCCTAGTGAACAGAGGCCCAAACCCAATATCTCTTATAGATCCTGAATTTTTATGGTCGCGATCAATTGATATCTACGATAGCATTGTACTTCAGCCCGTAGGTTACATTAACCCCTCTTTCGTCTTCTCCAATGTTCTGGATACGATGGTAAAGAACAAGATAACGAAGAACACTCTGGACTTTTACTCATGACCTCTCTATTCATATATATACACACGTTTGTTTTAAAATAGGTTTGCTAGAGAAGAGCGAGAGATAGAGAAATAAAAAAAATGGCAGATGGAATATTCTGGTATCCATTTCGGAGATTCCGTGAGTGGTCAGGAGGATCAATGGCTCTGATTGATTGGATGGAATCTCCAAGCGCACATATCTTCAAAATCAACGTCCCAGGTAAAAGCATAATAAACTGAATAAAACAATTTGAAAATTTCCACAAAGAGCAAGGATCACATTCATGCTAAGCTATTTTTTGGTATAAATATTAAATAATTTCATGCTAAGTTGTGTCTTGTAATTTTCTTTTGTTGTCAGCTGTGTCGTGTGATTTTGATAACCTTCTGGTAGTCACATAATAAAAATTGAGGAATCTTCAACCTTGCAAAGCTTAGCATGTACAGTATTGTTAAATTTTGAATTTTAGTGGCAGCTTAGATAATAAACATGAATGGTTCAAGAAGCTATGGTAGTATAATTATGTCAAATTAGATGATTAAAACATTTTCGGCTTAATTTTTGTAGAATTTCATTTGAGTTTTAGGGATTAATAGTTTTGAGTTTTTTTTCCAGACTCAGTTTGACCTTCTTTGAACAGAGTTTTCGTTTATTTTTAGACTAGTTGAGTAATTTCCTAATGTAAACAATATTTCACTTTCATGGATTAATAAGATACAATAAAGAGGATATAAAAGTGCAAATAGAAGAAGGAAACGTTTTGAGCATTAAAGGAGAAGGACTGAAGAAGGAAGAGAAAGAAAAGAAAGAGGATTTAGTGTGGCATGTGGTGGAGAGAGAAGCTTTTGCCGGTAAAGGCGGGTTTCTCCGACAGATTGAGTTACCGAAGACTGTGAAAGTCGACCAAGTAAAATCTTCTGTTGAGAACGGTCTCCTGACGGTGGTCGTTCCCAAGGACACATCACCTAAGCCCTCCAGAATTAGAAATGTTAACATCACTAGCAAGCTTTGAGGTTTAATCTGTGGTTTGAACCAGCTTCTTGGTTTTCGTTTGCCTAAAGTTTGAATAAAGTGAAGAGCGTGTTTTATGAGTCAAACCAGTGTGTATACCAGAAACAAAAAATAAGAACCGAACAAAATTATAATTAAACCGGGTTTTGGTTTCAGTGAACCAAAAGATCGAATCAAACTAGAATGCGTGCTTCAAAAATTCATGTGTTAAACAAAATGTGATCTTTAAAACTGTAAACGAGCGTCAAAAACGAGATTTAAAAACATTAAAAACAACAAAAGCTGAAATTTACATAATAGGATGCTCTCACTCTAGCTTGATTAAATCAGCTAATTATCTTTTTGAGCCGAGCATCGCTGGACCGTATATTACAAACCACGTGTTCTTAAAGCTGAAAAGGATTGAACTTGAACTGAGTATTGTAGGGCTTTACCCCGAAGGGAGCCCTTCCAGAAATTCTCGAGGGCCCAAGACAAGCTTAGGCCCAGGAGGGGGTTTGGAAATAGTTTTCAACCAGCAATAGACGCGCCTCGGTTAGAACCTCATTAGCTGCGTCATTGCCCCAAGCGCAAAGATAATTATAACACTACACAAGGCCCTTCTTTTATATGGAAGCGAAACTGTTGGTTATTTGGGTTGTAACCCAGAAATTTGTGAATTATATACTTGGATAATGATTGAATCGCGCACGAGGTCACTTTCCTTAAAGAGTATTTCGACCCTATTCCAAGCCTTTGGGTTACACGAAATCCCTTTGTAGGATAAGACAATCAAAGTCACATTCTTGTTCTAGGCTAAGATACAAGAATAACAAATAGNGATAATGATTGAATCGCGCACGAGGTCACTTTCCTTAAAGAGTATTTCGACCCTATTCCAAGCCTTTGGGTTACACGAAATCCCTTTGTAGGATAAGACAATCAAAGTCACATTCTTGTTCTAGGCTAAGATACAAGAATAACAAATAGAGTTTTAATGTTTATATGTGTTTCTTCAAAGATCTTTGATGATCTTTGAATAATAAATTTATTTCTCTCTTACTCTCTTACTAACTATTAGTTTCTGATTTCTTCTCTTTCTCTCTTGCCAATGCCTACATCCCTTTATATAGAGAATGAAAGGTTGCAACCAATAGTTGCAATGGTTAATCCAAGAGATGCAACGGTTAATACTAATGGTTGCAATGATTAATGAAAAGTTGCAATGGTTAGTTAAAGAGTTGCAATGGTTAATCACCAAGGGTTGCAATCATAAAGGTAGTTATTACCAAAGGTTGCAAATATCAATATGGTTATCACCAAAGGTTGCAATCATTAATATGGTTATTACCAAAGGTTGTAATCATCAATAGTTGCAAGCTTTTATTTATGTAGTTGTGATTGTTCACATAAACAA